GTTGGTCTATTATACAAAACAATATTATACCTTTCAATCTAAACTACATAGTATAATATATCTATGGACAAATTCCAACTTTGAATTATACAATGCGTTACTGTACACTACCCTATACTTTAGACTATAAAATATTAGAATTGTAATATTACACTATGTCTAATTCTATCAACCCTACTGTATACCACACTGCTGTATATTCACTACACAATTACGATATTATATATTGCCTTATGAATTATGTTAAACATTACAATGTTATACTATTTATTATTATAATACTACATGTTATAAACCATATCATTGACCGTGGTGTGAAAGGTATTAAGGGGCAGTGCCAGCGAAGGGGCTGTGGTCTGAATGTCACCGTAAAAAAACAATTAAATAAGAACCGAAATGGTATATAATATCTTTCCAATGGTTACTAAGCAAGAAACCATATTCTCGGTTGAAATTGTCTCTGTGTTTGTATATGTGGTTGGCTTCTTGCATAAACACAAGATCCAGGTCCGATTCAACACAGTACATAAAATCCGTGATCTGGTTCCGTCTGTAAAAGATGTGGTTCCAGACATACAGTTCCCGGGCATTTACAATCTAAGTTGCCTCTGTGGTACCAGCTACATTGGAGAAACCAAACGACATGTCTCGGACCGCATCCGTGAACATAAAGCAGACTTGAAACACGGTAGGACGAACTCCTCAGTCGTGGCCGATCACTGTTATAACTCAGAAGGCTCACATGACATTGACTTCTCCAAGACGGAGGTTCTCTGCAAGCCACCCGGCTACCATGAGAGATTCGTTCATGAAGCCATCCACATATACAAACACAGAGACAATTTCAACCGAGAAGATGGATTCTGGCTTAGTAACCATTGGAAAGATGTTTTAAACCATTTCGGTTCTCAATTAATTGTTTTTTACGGTTACCTTCAGACCACAGCCCCTTCGCTGGCACTGCCGCTTAATACCTTTCACACCACGGTCAATGATATGGTTTTTAACATGTAGTATTATAATAAATAGTATAACATTGTAATGTTTAACATCATTCATATGGCAATATATAATATCGTAATTGTGTAGTGAATATACAGCCGTGTGGTATACAGTAGGGTTGATAGAATGAGACAGTGTAATAATACAAATCTAATATTTTATAGTCTAAAGTATAGGGTAGTGTAGAGGAACGCATTGTATAATTCAAAGGTGGAATTTGTCCAAAGATACGATATTATACCATGTAGTTTAGTTTGGAAGGTATAATATTGTATTGTATAATAGTCCAACTTATAGCATAGTTATAACGCAACACAGGACAGAGCAATGCACCGTTGCTTTATGTCACCCAGCACCCCCCGCCCCCACATCGTCGCGCTCTCATATTAACATGATAATTCATATGTTAAATTCCTCCCACACAGCTTAAAAGACGCCACCCATGCTTGGCAGTGTTCACTCGAGTGCTGTCCTCTGGACAGTCCTGTTTCTTCACCTGAAGAAGGCTACTTGTGTTGTGGCCGAAACGTCGAGAGAACTTTATTTTTTATTATGTTTTATTTTCATTATTTTATTCTCATTCTACGTGACTTTACCGAAAGAACCAAGAAGATGAATCCCTGCAGTCACGAAAGCTTTAAATCGAAGTATAATAATGCTCTAGAATGACTCGAGAGGTGCTCGACTGGTGTGAAATCTAATTGTGCAATAGAAGGGCTAGAGAGCTGAAAAATTGATGTGAACTCTAATGTTTCTCAAGATGGGGTCGAGAGCTGAGTGACTGATGTGACCTCCAATGATGCTCTAGAAGAGCTAGAGAAGTGTGATGTGATGTCTAATGATCCTCTAAAAGGGCTAGAGAACTGAGTGCCTGGTGTGAAATCCAATTTTGAAATTGAAGGGCTAAAGAGTTGATTGCTTGGTGTGAAATGGAAGGGCTAAAGAGCTGAGCGATTGATGTCAAATTACAAATTTTACTCACCTTTACCTATAATAAAGGTGTATATATATTCTTGGTTCTTTCGGTAAAGTCACGTTGAAGGGAAACAATAATATATATATAAAACAATAAAATTCTCATGACGTTTCGACTGCAACACAAGCAGTCATAATCAGTTGTGAAAACCAACGACCGACAACCACAGCAAGAAAAAATACTGCTGAAGTAGGCGAGAGATCTGCCGTGGCACGAAGTTATATAGGCGGCCTCGGCAGTAGGGGGGGGGGGGGAGAAGGTGGGGGGAAAGAGGAGGAGGGGCAGAAAGTGGACCCCGCGGCAGCACCCGGGTCACTGGAGTAGAGATCGCAGAGAGATTCACAAAGAAAGAGAGAAAGACACACAGAGAGTCGGAAATAACAGCTGACAGGCAGGTAGGATTGAAACATCACAGTCGGTTAAGACTTTACCTGGTTAATAACGTCCTTCCAATGATTGCTCAGTTTGTACCCATCCTCTTGGTTGAAGTTGCGTCTCTGTTTATATATCTGGATGGCTTCATGAACAAATCTCTGATAATAGCCGGTGGGTTTGCAGAGTACCTTCGTCTTGGAAAAGTCAATTTCGTGTGAGCCCACAGCGTTATATCAATGATCAGCAACGGCAGAGGTATTGGTCCTACCGTGTTTCAGATCTGCCTTGTGTTCGCGAACGCGGTCCAAGACATGTCATTTCGTTTCCCCAATGTAACTGCTGCCGCAGCCACAACTCAGTTTGTAGACACCGGGGTATTGCATATCAGGAATCGCATCCTTTACAGATGGGATTAGATCACGGATTGTGTGTACTGTGTTGAAACGAACCTGGATCTTGTCTTTGTTTAAGATTTTGGAAATATTTTTGGTAACCCATGCTATGTATGGCAAAGTGATGGTATTGGTTGGATCCTCAGATGGCCAATTAGTTACTTCTTTAGCCCACCATTTACAATTTGAGTACGACGAAAAATATTTATAATATTTAACCGCTATGATAGCTACATTTTGGAAGCGTATTACGAAGTAATACAAAATACATATTACAATTCTTTATAGAGGAATCACATACTAATTAACTGATTACCAATCTATTATTTAATTACAATTCCCCCGCCTCCTCACCTCCGCCTCTGATCTCGAAACCTGATGGGGTTCAACAATGATGACGTCATCCTGCACTATTTAAGACCGGAAGCAGGTGGATGGCTTCAGTAATCTGGCAAATCGCCCGAAGATGCTGGATGTAATTACCAGCGAAACGTCGTACTCAAATTCTAAATGTCACGGATTCACTCTTCAAACACACCGGTGGGCTGAAGTCGTAACTAATTGGCGTTTTGTTAACGTGACACATTTTTTACAGATTGGCCGTGTCTGGTGGTGGAGTGTTGCGACACATTTATAATAATGCGATATAACCCTGAAACCTTTCTTATGAATAATACTGGTCGCGAAAGCCTACGTGTTAAACGCACCTTTACCTACTAACCAAACCTAAAACTGACCACCACCTACTCACCAGACAAGAAAATGACCACACCTACTCACCAGATCTTAAACTGACCAACATGAGAGATTCGTTCATTAGGCTATCCACATATACATATACAAACACAGAGACAATTTCAACCGAGAAGATGGATTCTGGCTTAGCAATCATTGGAAGGATTTGATAAACCATTTAGGGTCTTAATTGATTGTTCACGCTTTTGGTGGCTTTCAGACTGCATCCATTATTTCGTCTCCCCCCTCCTCTTTTCCGAACATAGATGGACTCGTCCATCTGAATAACTGCCAAATCGCTCTCCGTGGTGCTAACGTTAAAAAACCCGCCACTTTTTTCAAATTTTCTTGCTGTGGTTTTCACACCTGATGATGATTACTTATGTTGCAGTCGAAACGTTGTGAGAATTTTATTGTTTTATATTTTTATTATTTTATTGTTTCCCTTCTACGTGACTTTACCGAAAGAACCAAGAATATGACCACAATGACTCACCTGACGTAAAACTCACCACACCTACTCACCAGATCTAAAACTCACCACACCTCACCAAACCTAAAACTGACCACACTTACTAACCGCACCTAAAACTCACCACCACCTACTCACCATATCTAAAACTGACACTACTTACCAGACCTAAAACTCACCACAGCTATTCACCAGACCTAAAACTCACCACCACTACTCAACAGACCTAAAACTCACCACCACTTACTCACCAGACCTAAAACTCACCACAGCTACTCACCAGACCTAAAACTGACCACACTTATCTACCAGACCTAAAACTGACCTCACTTACTCACCAGACCTAAAACTCACCACAGCTACTCACCAGACCTAAACTGACCACACTTATTCACCAGACCTAAAACACACCACCAATTACTCACCAGACCTAAAACTTACCACAGCGACTCACCAGACCTAAAACTCACCACAGCTACGCACCAGACCTAAAACTCACCACCACTTACTCACCAGACCTAAAACTCACCATAGCTACTCACCAGACCTAAAACTGACCACACTTATCCACCAGACCTAAAACTGACCTCACTTACTCAGCAGACCTAAAACTCACCACAGCTACTCACTAGACCTAAAACTGACCACACTTACTCACCAGACCTAAAACTCACCACCACTTACTCACCAGACCTAAAACTCACCACAGCTACTCAACAGACCTAAAACTCACCACCACTTATTCACCCGACCTAAAACTCACCACAGCTACTCACCAGACCTAAAACTGACCACACTTATTCACCAGACCTAAAACACACCACCAATTACTCACCAGACCTAAAACTTACCACAGCGACTCACCAGACCTAAAACTCATCACAACTACTCACCAGACCTAAAACTGACCTCACTAACTCAGCAGACCGAAAACTCACCACAGCTACTCACCAGACCTAAAACTGACCACACTTACTCACCAGACCTAAAACTAACTACAGCTACTCACTAGACCTACAACTCACCACACTTACTTGCCTCTCCCTAGGCTGTTGATACAACAATCACAATAACCTCAACAACAACCATGGGCACCGAGCAACAGTGGAGGACGCCGCCGATGGTGGCGATGCCGGTGATGCTGCTGATGATCTTGGCGATGATGGCCGCACCGTGCCAAGCCAAGGCCTTCACGCAGAGGTCCTTCCTCGACTTCATCTCGGGGGCAGAAGCCTTCCAGGGGGACGACGGCTCTGCCGAGGGGGCGCTTATCCCCGCAAAGCCCCCCGTAAAGCCCCCCGCGGAGCCCCCCGCGACACCCCCCATGAAGCCCCCCGCGAAGCCCCCCGTGAAGCCCCCCATGAAGTACCCCGTGCGGCCCGCCGTGGTGCCCACGCTGCTGCCCCCGATCTACGAACCCGATGGCGGCCCCTCCGACTTCCCGTGCCCATTCGGGTGCATGTGCCAAGCCAAGGTCATGCACTGCTCTGGCGTGGGTGAGTGCATGGGTGATGGGGTGGGCGAGAGGGTGGGCGGTGGGGTGGGTGAGTGGTTGATTGAGTGAGTTGGTGGGTGAGAGGGTGAGTGGGAAGGTGGGTGGATAAGAGGGTGGGTGAGTGAGTGGGTGAGAGGGAGCGTGGGTGGGTGAGAGGGTGAGTGAGAGGATGGGTGGATGATTGAGTGGGTGAGTGGGTGGGTGGCGTTTGTGTGCAGGCTGCCCTATGTGACTTCATTACAACTGTCTGGTCCACGGGAAGTTTTACGCAGGATTGGAAGGATGACCTGGTGGTCCTCCATCTCTGTCTCATAGCCCATCCTCCTGTTACTCCCTGCCACCACCCCCAGGTACGACCAGGCCTTCCCCGACTCCTACCACTACCCCAACCCCTACCACCACCCCTACCCCTTCTACCACCCCTACCTCTATCACCACCCATACCAATGTCACCAACCATACCCCTATCACCACCTGTATCACTACCCCAACCCCTCCTTAACCTCTCCAGCCTGTTCTCCTGTCACTATAACTACACCACCATCAATTTTAACAACTTCACTCTTTATTTCAACCATTATCATCGTATGTACAATTGTATAATTGCTGTAAAAAGCGCCTTGGAATGAAATGCTATATATATACATCTATAGTAAGTCCAACCGAGTCGCCGAAGTTCTTCTTCAGAGGCAACACATTTATTACACAACACGTATATACAAAAAGGGTAACTGCCCCTTTACAAGATACCACCCAGCTAACTACACTACCATACAGGAGTTATGGCTACGACGGAACGGACCCATACTCGGGTCCCGGGCCACGTGTTGCTGCCTCTTCAGATGTAGAACGTGGAGCTACCAGCTTGCAGAACGAAGCTACCCCGGTCCCTACGTGACTTTACCGAAAGAACCAAAGAGTATGGATTCCTGCAGTCACGAAAGCTTCAAATCAAGATCAAACAGGTTTTTATTTGGCCGGATAGAGAGGACTAAACGGGTGAGTAAGTGGGTGGATTAGTGGGTGGGTGAGAAGGGTGAGTTGTTGAGAGGTTGGGTGAGTACGTGGGTGAGCGAGAGGGTGAGAAAATGGGTAAGTGCGTGGATGGGTGAGTGAGTGAGTGGGTGAGTGGGTGGGCTAGTTTGTGGGCGTGAAGGTGGGTGAGTGAGTCAAAGGGTAGGTGAGTGGATGGGTGAGAGGGTGGGTGAGTGAGAAGGTGGATGAGTGTTTGAGATTGTGGGTGAGTGCGTGGGTGAGCGAGAGGGTGAGGAAGTGGGTGAGTGGGTCAGCGTGTAACAGGGTGAATGAATGGGTGGGGGAGTAGATGGGTGAGTAAGAGTAAGTGGGTGGATTAGTAGTTGAGTGAGTGAATGGGTGAGTGTGCGAGCGAGTGGTGAGTAGGCACATTCCTCATTCTCTCAGCGTTTCCTTCGCAGCTGTGAACTCTCTCTCGGCCCCCTCTCTCTTCGTCTCCTTTCTCTCCCTTCTGCTCTCTTTCTGTGTGCTCCCACTCTCTCTGTCTCTATCCTTGTGGCTCTACAGCATTCGTTACCAGTGAGCTCGGAGGCTTCACATGATTCCTGGGGCACAGCCGTAGCGAAGGGTACATTGGACATGGTGTGCCGGCTTTGTAAATATTTTCCATGTCACTGAATCGGACAGATCCGATGGAATTGTTACCTCCTGTCTCACTGTCTCTCTTCTCTACCTTGCCTCTCCCCGTGTCTCCTGCGTGTGCCCCCTACTCTCCCCTCGTGTCTCCGAGTGCCCCCCCTCTCTCCGCATGTCTCCTCCGAGTGTCTTCTTCTGTCTCCCCGTGTCTCCTCTGTCCCCCCCCCACCGCCTCTTTCTCCCAGCGTCTCCACTCTACATGTGCGTGGCAGAGCGACGATCGTGATCACACATCTGGTCCTCATGTGTCCTCATGTGTCTCCGTGTGCCTCCCTGTGTCTCCTGCCAAGGTCTTAATTTGAAAAGGAACTTGAAAGAGAGGCAATTATGCGGATGGGGGGGGGGGGGAGTTTGGGAGAGGGTTGGTGAGATTTGGGGGTGGGCAGAGACACAGAGATCGAGAAATTGAGACAGGAGACAGAGAACCACAGAGAGAGACATGAGACAGACGCTAAGACAGACTCGTGAAGAGAGACAATGAGAGGGAAAGAGACAGAGATACGGACAGATGCAGACACAAAGATCCCCCATATAGACTGTTATAGACTGTTCTAGACTGTTGGGGCAAGTGCTGTTAGCGAGCAGCGCCTATGAAGGTCGACACGGCGCACGAGGGGGTGGGTGGCCAGCGCCAAGCCCAGCCGCCTTTGTCTCCCCAGCGGAGATGTTAACACACCGCACCAGGTACTTATCTGAGACTGAGTCGACCTATGGGAGGCCCAAAACATCGGGTCACCCAGGATGTTTAGGGACCGTCCATAAATGACGTCACGCACCTGGGGGGGTCAGACATTTGTGAGGATGTGACGAGGGGGGGGGGGGTTGAGAAATGTGACGTCACATCAAAATGCGCAACTTTAAATAAATATAGACAACACGTTCTACTTAATTAAGTATACTTTTTAATAAATGTTTTCTCCTACAACATCACAGTGCAGCGCCACATTAAATGCGCACTACAATGACAATAGTTTAAAGTGATTTGAAGCATGTTTTATTTTTTATATTTTGGGGGGGGGGGGCAGAGCTTTGTGACGTCATATTTGAGGGGGGTTCTGACTTTTTGTGACGCCGTGTGACGAAGGGGGGGGGGGGGTCAAAAACCGTCCAAAATCGCGTGATGTAATTTATGGACGGCCCCTTACCGCTTCTGCACCCGTGAATGGCCCTGTCCATGTGAATGGCCCTGTCCATGTGAATGGCCCTGTCCATGTGAATGGCCCTGTCCCCGTGAATGGCCCTGTCCATGTGAATGGCCCTGTCCCCGTGAATGGCCCTGTCCCCGTGAATGGCCCTGTCCTCGTGAATGGCCCTGTCCCCGTGAATGGCCCTGTCCCCGTGAATGGCCCTGTCCCCGTGAATGGCCCTGTCCCCGTGAATGGCCCTGTCCCCGTGAATGGCCCTGTCCCCGTGAATGGCCCTGTCCCCGTGAATGGCCCTGTCCCCGTGAATGGCCCTGTCCCCGCGAATGGCCCTGTCCCCGTGAATGGCCCTGTCCCCGTGAATGGCCCTGTCCCCGTGAATGGCCCTGTCCCCGTGAATGGCCCTGTCCCCGTGAATGGCCCTGTCCCCGTGAATGGCCCTGTCCATGTGAATGGCCCTGTCCATGTGAACGGCCCTGCCCCTGCCCTGCCCCCGTGAATGCCCAGGCCTGAAGAAGGTTCCTGCAAACCTGCCACCGGGTCTGCTTATCCTGGATCTGCAGAACAACAAGATCAGCGAGCTGCGTGACGGGGACTTCGACGGACTCAAAGTCCTCCAGGTGAGTAGCAGCAGCAGTGACAGTAGCAGTAGCAGCAGTAGTAGTGGTAGCAATAGTAGTAGCAGTAGCAACAGTAGTAGCAGCAGTAGTAGCAGCAGTAGTAGTATTAGTAGCGGCAGTAGTAGTAGCAGCAGTAGCAGCAGCTGTAGTAGTAGCGGCAGTAGTATTAGTAGCGGCAGCAATAGTAGCAGCAGCAGTAATAGTAGCAGCAGTAGTAGTAGTGGCAGTAGCAGCAGCAATAGTAGCATCGGTAGCAGCAGCAGTAGTAGTAGCAGCAGTGGTAGTAGCAGCAGCAGTAGTAGCGGCAGCAGTAGCGGCAGCAGCAGTAGTAGCAGCAGTAGCAGCAGCAGTAGTAGTAGCAGTAGTGTAGTGTTCAATTTCACTCGGACAACTTTTGTCTTTCTTCGAACACCACTTTATTTACAACTCTCCGCATGTCCTCAATATTCCACAGTATCCATGTCGCCACGGCTCGCTCGCCGTGCTTCACTCGACTCGCTCGCCACCTTTGTCTCTCCACTCCCCACTATCACTGCGCATACTCCACCGCTAACTACTTCGTCTCCGCTCTCACCGTCGCTATGCTCTCTCAACTGCGAGCTACTTCGTCTCTGCTCTCCGCTCTCACCGTCGCTATGCTCTCTCCACTGCTAACTACTTCGTCTCTGCTCTCCGCTATCACCGTCGCTATGCTCTCT